AGACTTTTAAGAAACCATGAGCAGAACATCCAAGAAATATGGGATAACATAAAGAGACCAAACTTAAGAGTTATTGGGATACAGGAAGGTATAGAGGTCCAAACCAAAGGAATGAGCAATCTCTTCAACAAAATAATAGGAGAAAACTTCCCAGACTTGAAGAATGAAACAGACTCCCAAATCCTAGAACCCTACAAGATGCCGAATGTGCAAAATCATAAGAGATCCACACCCAGACACATTATAATGAAGATACCCAACATACAGAATAAGGAGAGAATTTTAAAAGCTACAAGAGAAAGGAAGCAGATTACATTTAGGGGTAAACCAATCAGGATAACAGCTGATCTTTCAACACAGACTCTGAAAGCTAGAAGATACTGGAACAATCTATTTCAAACACTGAAAGAAAATGGGTTCCAACCAAGAATTGTGTATCCAGTGAAATTAAGCTTCAGGATGGAAGATGAAATTAAAACCTTCCACGATAAACAAAAGTTAAAAGAATTTACAGCTAGAAAACCATCTCTTCAAAACATCCTTGGCAAAACATTACAGGAAGAGGAAATGGAAAATAACAATGAAAACCAACAGCGGAAGTAGTACAGTAAAGGGAAAAAATAATCAAAGAGGAAAAACAAACCATGTCAAGTAACATAAATAAACAAATATGGCTGGAAGAACAACCCATATCTCAATAATAATCCTAAATGTTAATGGCTTAAACTCACCAATCAAGAGACATAGGCTAGTAGAATGGATCACACACACAAAAAAAAGATCCAACAATATGCTGCCTACAGGAGATGCATCTGATAGGAAAAGACATACATAGGCTGAAGGTGAAAGGTTGGGAAAAGTCATATCACTCATATGGACCTCGGAAACCAGCAGGAGTGTCCATACACATATCAAATAAAATAGACTTCAAGCCAAAGTTAATCAAAAGGGATAAAGAAGGACACTACATACTGCTCAAGGGAACCATACACCAACAAGACATAACAATCATAAATATATATGCCCCAAACAATGGTGCAGCTATGTTCATCAAACAAACTCTTCTCAAGTTCAAGAGTCTAATAGACCACCATACAATAATTATGGGAGACTTCAACACACCTCTCTCACCACTGGACAGATCTTCCAAACAAAAGTTGAATAAAGAAACTATAGAACTCAATAATACAATTAATAACCTAGACTTAATTGACATATATAAAATATACCACCCAACATCAAGCAGTTAAACTTTTTTCTCTGCAGGACATGGATCCTTCTCAAAAATAGATCATATATTATGTCACAGGGCAACTCTTAGAAATTATAAAGGAGTAGAGATAATACCATGCATCCTATCTGATCATAATGGAATGAAACTGGAAATCAACAATAAAAGAAGGAAGGAAAAATCATGCATCACTTGGAGAATAAACAATAGGTTACTGAATGATCAATGGGTTACAGAAGACATCAAGGAGGAAATTAAAAAATTCTTAGAGATAAATGAAAACACAGACACAACATATCAGAATCTATGGGACACAATGAAAGCAGTTCTAAGAGGAAAATTCATTGCTTGGAGTTCATTCCTTAAAAAAAGAAAAAAAACAACAAATAAATGATCTCACACTTCATCTCAAAATCCTAGAAAAGGAAGAGCAAAACAACAGCAAAAGTAGTAGAAGGCAAGAAATAATTAAAATCAGAGCTGAAATTAATGAAATCGAAACAAAAGAAACTATTTAAAAAATTGACAAAACTAAAAGTTGGTTCTTTGAAAAAATAAATAAGATCAACAGACCCTTAGCTATGCTAATGAAGAGAAGAAGAGAGAGAACTCAAATTACTAGCATACGGGATGAAAAAGGCAATATCACCACAGACACTTCAGAAATACAGAAGATAATCAGAAATTATTTTGAATCCTTATACTCCAATAAAATAGAAGATAGTGAAGGCATAGATAAATTTTTTAAGTCATATGATCTGCCCAGATTGAGTCAGGAGGATATACACAACCTAAACAGAAAAATATCAATCGAAGAAATAGAAGAAGCCATCAAAAGACTACCAACTAAGAAAAGCCCAGGACCGGATGGGTATACAGCAGAGTTTTACAAAACCTTTAAAGAAGAACTAATACCAATATTTTTCAAGCTATTTCAGGAAACAGAAAAAGAGTGAGAACTTCCAAATTCATTCTATGAGGCCAACATCACCCTGATTCCTAAACCAGACAAAGACACTTCAAAGAAAGAGAACTACAGACCAATATCTCTAATGAACATAGATGCAAAAATCCTCAATAAAATTCTGACAAATCGAATACAGAAACATATCAAAAAGGTCGTGCATCATGATAAAGTAGGATTCATCCCTGGATGCAAGGCTGGTTCAATATTCGGAAATCAATAAATGTTATTCACCACATCAGTAGACTTAAAGTACCATATGATCATCTCGATAGATGCAGAAAAAGCATTCAACAAAGTACAGCATCCCTTTATGTTCAAAACTCTAGAAAAACTAGGGATAACGGGAACATACCTCAATATTGTAAAAGCTATCTATGCTAAGCCTCAGGCTAGCATCATTCTGAATGGAGAAAAATTGAAGGCATTCCCTCTAAAATCTGGAACAAGACAGGGATACCCTCTCTCACCACTTCTGTTCTACATAGTTCTCGATACACTGGCCAGAGCAATTAGACAAAAGAAATTAAAGGCATAAAAATAGGAAAAGAAGAACTTAAATTATCACTATTTGCGGATGACATGATTCTATACCTAGAAGACCAAAAGGGTCTACAAAGAAACTACTAGAGCTAATAAATGAATTCAGCCAAGTGGCAGGATATAAAATCAACACGCATAAATCAAAGGCATTCCTGTATATCAGCGACAAATCTTCTGAAATGGAAATGAGAATAACCACCCCATTCACAATATCCTCAAAAAAAAATAAAATACTTGGGAATCAACCTAACAAAAGAGGTGAAAGACTTGTACGATGAAAACTACAGAATCCTAAAGAGAGAAATAGAAGAAGATCTTAGAAGATGGAAAAATATACCCTGTTCATGAATAGGCAGAACTAACATCATCAAAATGGCAATATTACCAAAAGTTCTCTATAGGTTTAATGCAATGCCAATCAAAATCCCAACAGCATTTCTTGTAGAAATAGATAAAGCAATCATGAAATTCATATGGAAAAATAAAAGACCCAGAATATCAAAAACAATTCTAAGCAGGTAAGGTGAATCAGGAGGTATAGTGATACCAGACTTCAAACTATACTACAGAGCAATAGTAACAAAAACATCATGGTACTGGTACCAAAACAGGCAAGTGGACCAATAGTACAGAATAGAGGACACAGAGACCAATCCACAAAATTACAACTATCTTATATTTGATAAAGGTGCTAAAAGCATGCAATGGAGGAAGGATAGCATCTTCAACAAATGGTGCTGGGAAAACTGGAAATCCACGTGCAACAAAATGAAACTGAATCCCTTTCTCTCGCCATGCACAAAAGTTAACTCAAAATGGATCAAAGAGCTTGATATCAAATCAGAGACTCTGCGTCTAATAGAAGATAAAGTTGGCCCTGATCTACATATTGTGGGGTCGGGCTCCAAATTCCTTAATAGGACACCCATAGCACAAGAGTTAATAACAAGAATCAACAAATGGCATTTACTTAAACTAAAAAGTTTTTTCTCAGCAAGAGAAACAATGAGAGAGATAAATACGGAGCCTACGTCCTGAAACAAATTTTTACTCCACACATTTCAGATAGAGCCCTAATATCCAGAGTATACAAAGAACTCAGAAAATTAGACAATAAGAGAACAAACAACCCAATCAACAAATGGGCCAAGGACCTGAACAGACACTTCTCAGAGGAGGACATACAGTCAACCAACAAGTACATGAAAAAATGCTCACCATCTCTAGCTGTCAGAGAAATGCAAATCAAAACCACCCTAAGATACCATCTCACTCCAGTAAGATTGGCAGCCATTATGAAGTCAAACAACAACAAGTGCTGGCGAGGATGTGGGGAAAAGGGTACTCTTGTACATTGCTGGTGGGACTGCAAATTGGTGCGGCCAATTTGGAAAGCAGTATGGAGATTCCTGGGAAAGCTGGGAATGGAACCACCATTTGACCCAGCTATTCCCCTTCTCGGTCTATTCCCTAAAGACCTAAAAAGAGCATACTACAGGGATACTGCTACATCAATGTTCATAGAAGTACAGTTCACAATAGCTAGACTGTGGAACCAACCTAGATGCCCTTCAATAGATGAATGGATTAAAAAAATGTGGCATTTATACACAATGGAGTATTACTCTGCACTAAAAAATGACAAAGTCATGGAATTTGCAGGAAAATGGATGACATTAGAGCAGATTATGCTAAGTGAAGCTAGCCAATCCCTAAAAAACAAATGCCAAATATCTTCTTTGATATAAGGAGAACAACTAAGAACAGAGCAGGGAGGAAGAGCATGAGAAGAAGATTAACATTAAACAGGGATGAGAGGTGGGAGGGAAAGGGAGAGAGAAGGGAAATTGCATAAAAATGGAAGGAGACCCTCATAGTTATACAAAATTACATATAAGAGGAAGTGAGGGGAAAGGGAAAAAAACAAGGGAGAGAGATGAATTACAGTATCTGGGGTACAGAGAAAAGATGGGAGGGGAGGGGAGGGGGGATAGTAGAGGATAGGAAAGGTAGCAGAATACAACAGACACTAGTATGGCAATATGTAAATCAATGTATGTGTAACTGATGTGATTCTTCAATCTGTATACGGGTTAAAAATGGGAGCTCATAACCCACTTGAATCAAATGTATGAAATATGGTATGTCAAGAACTATGTAATGCTTTGAACAACCAATAATAAAAATTTTTTTAAAAAGATTAGATTAATAACTGAGAGTAGAGAATCCTACATCTTCATTTTCTTCAGCATCTTTGCTTACCTGTTTAATCTTTCAAATAATGTTCCAAATTGTGCTGGTTTATATGATGAACTGAGATCATCTTGACTTTCATTTATTTTGGAAACCAAAGAATTAGAACCATCCACATTGTTGAGCTAGAAAAATAGGAAAAAAAAAACATTAAAATAGTAAATGTACATACATGGAATTTCACTTGCTCACACAAAAAAAATGTCATTTAAGTGAACAGCATCTATATTCAGAAATGTATCTTTTAGTCTAATAGAAAGTAATTTTAGTTCCTTTTGAAACAAAATACTGTTCTAACAATTGCCACCATAGCACAATGAAGGTAAAAGCCACCAACAAATTAATATCAGTATTTAAATGATTGTTAAAATAAGAGAGTTAATACTATGGTGAATTAATATTTTTCTCAGTTAAAAAAAGATTATAAAAATAAACACACAGAACACCAGAATCTCCTATAACTAAATGTTAAGTTTCTGATAGAAAATAGTAGTTTGTTTCAAGGAAACAGCTACACTGGTCTCAGTTCTTCCATTTACTGTAATTTTAGACTACTACTTTAATTTTTCTGAATATCAATATCATTCGGTAAAAAATAGGGATAAGACTATGAAGACTATTAAAGCATAAAAAACATCCATTTGTTAGTGTGGAAGGTTCTATATAAACTTACTTCATTTTTATCCAACACTAATCTATTCAGTAAGGATAATTTATAACTATAGTATATTTAATTTTAAACCCAGGAACAATAAAAATGAGAAGTCCAAAGACAATCAATTATAAAAACAGAAAACAAAAAGAGCAGAGTTGAGGTGGTAGTGGTGGTGAGCACCTGCAATGCCAGCACAGAAACATAAGGATCACTTTAATGCAGGAGTTTGAAGATCAACCTGGCCACATAGTAAGACCCTATCACAAAAATTTAAAAATAAAGAAAAGGAAAATTGAGACACTGAATGTCTTTGGAAAACAAACAAACAACAAACAAAGACCAAAGTCAGAAGATGGCTAACAAATATATCTTAGTCTCAAAACAGTGACAGAGGAGCAGAAACAAAGTTAACTTTGAAGTGACAAATAAAAAACCAAAAGAGGAATGGAGGGGCAGAGTACTTGATGAGCATGCATAAGGCTCTAGATTTGATACCCAGCACCACAAAAGAGTAAAACAGAGAAAGAAGAGAATACTTCATTTTAATTTTTCTTACTTTTCTAGAAATCTCCATAAATAATCTATTAAATATTTTTCTAAGAACGAAAAATATGACACTACAACGTGGAGAAGGACATTAGCTTCTCTTTCCAGTCTTCTACCATAGTAGGTATGTTATTTACCTATTTGGAATTAATTGCTAACCTATAGTGTATAATATGTAACAGGTAAGGAAGAGATTGGTTACAGAGAAATCACAGTGTTTTATTCTCCATCTTACAAGCTAATAGAGCAAGGATAAGTTACAAATTAATCTACAAAGGGAGACAAAGGTTGAATGTTTTCTTTAATATGTGGAAGCTAATCCACAAAAAGGTGTGTGTGTGGGGGGGGCAGAAATAGAAGAAGTTCAGTGGGATTAGACAAAGGGGAATAAAGAGAATGGAGGAGGGATAGGAAAACAAAAGACAATGGAATGAATCTGATGTTATTTTCTTATATACATACATGAATACACCACAGTGAATGTCACCATAGTGTACATCCACAATTAATTAATTTAAAAAATAAACATAATCATGGGAAAATAGCAGAAAGCTCAATAAAGGAAAGGGAAGAGGGGTGGGGAAAGGGAAAGTAAAGGAAAGATATTAGGGTTCTAATTGGAATAAGCATATTCCATGCTGATATAATTATATCAAAATGGATTCTACCAATATGTATAACTAAAAAGAACCCATCAAATAAAATTTTAAAAATACAAAACAAATGGGTTGTTGAATATCCTTAATTGCATAATTCAAAAATTATTAGGTTCTTTAATTTTTTTCATTTCTCTCCAAGAAACAGCAAATCATCCTTTAATAAACACTTTAAAAAATCATCATAATTAACTATATTACATTTATCTATAATATAGTATAGTATTTAACTAAAATGATTTATGAACTTATAAATCATAAATTTATTATAAATTTACTTATAGATAATGTACATACAAATATGGTATAAACCACTGCAAGCTAAAAGTTGGGAGAAATCTAAAATTAATATCCCTGTTAATAAAATATAATGCTTATATAGCCATTTTCTTCATTACCATTGTACATTAGTATAGTAACTTCAATAATTTAAATTTCTAAATCTATATATATTTAGTAAATCATTCCCTTATATGTTCTATGACAAACATATATTAGAATTTGGATTTTTTTATATTTTAACTGTAGAAAACTGTGATTAATCATTGTAGTATCTGCTATGTAACATTGCCACATATTTCTATATATGTAGCTGGGTGAGAGGGCACATGCCTGTAATTCCAACAACTCAGGAGACAGAGGCAGGAAGACTACAAGTTTGAAGCCAGCCTCAGAAACTTAGTGAGGGCCTTTTTCAAAATAAAAAGCAAAGAGGGCTGGGGATATAGATCAGTAGGAGAGTGCATCTAGGTTCCCAGTACCACCACACACACACACAAAAAAGAATAAATTTGTACATTAATTGAAGTACTCATAAACAGATGTCATCTTTAAATCATAAAACCAATCAAGCCACCACAACTCATACTTTAAGAGACTAACTACTATGTCTTCACTGAGACTATGTCATCACAGGATGCCTTCTATATCATGCAAACCGAATTGCCATGACATCTATAAACTATTGACTTACAGTGATCATAACATAAACTGCTATAAAACAGACTGAATTATTTTCAAATTTGCTATCAATAATTTTCTAAAATGAATGATAATTTCTAAGGTAGTGAAGAACATTCCTTGGTTTTCTATTCATAATTTTCTAGAGCACAGAAAATTAAGCTTTTGATCTAAGAGGAATGAATCATCCTTAATTATCTTCTAATTTGGTACAATTTGGTACTTCTAATCTGTACTAATTTGCAGGCTACACTTTTAAAATCTATAAAAAACAGAAGTAGTATATGATTAAAAAACAGTATATGATAAAATATATGTATATTTTATATGTATAAAATATATACATATATTTTATAAAAAATATATACATAAATATATATACATATATAAAATATATAGATAAAATATATATACATATATAAAATATATATACATATATTTTATAAAGTATATGATAAAACAGTATATGATAAAAATAAAATTCAAAGTTACCTGCCCATCTTGATTTTTTTCATATACAAGACTCTGAGGACTAGATGCTATTCTGGGAATTAAATTTTGTTTTGGAATATGTCTGTGAGAAGATAATTCTGCTGAAAAAGATGGTGGAGTAAAATTGCACTTTTCTATTTTGCTGAACTGAGGTTCAAACATACTGTATGAGTTCTTAACTTGAGATAACTATAAGAAAAAAATATAAAATAATTTAAAATACATATTACCTAAAGAAGTCAAAATAGTACAACCAAAATAAGTGAAAAGGGCATAGATTGCAAGGGAAAACGTCCCAAGGAAAGACAAGTCATCATTAATTGACAGGATTTATTAATATGAGAGAAATTATTAACTAAGATATTACTTAGGAACTCCTTTCCCTTTGTTTTTCCCGCCCATATTGCCCTCCAACCACAAGCTTCATTCCCATATGCTATCCTCTAATGAAAGAAAATCTGAGTTCCATTAAACCACAAAGTAGATGACAAGATTTACAAAGGTTTTTTTTTTTTTGTTTTTTTGTTTTTTTGTTGTTGTTGTTTTGTTTTGTTTTTAGTATCACTGCTATTGCCTTTCTGGTCTGGTTTAACTCTGACAATTCAAAGAAAGGAAAGAAGAGTTAATAAGAAGGCACTGGACATTAAACAAAATTTCAAGATTTAATAACAATCTATGTACTTATATTGATTAAAATTTTATTTGCTAAAATCTAGTTTGTTATACTTTGAAAGAAAAATTATCTTGGGATTAAAGTGAGTACTAAACATCACAACTTGGTATAAAATAATCTTGTCATACATGTTTGAAGAGATGAACTGCTCAATAATCATATGGTAAGAACCCTTAAGTGAAATGTCTTTTACAGCTGTTCAGTAACAAGCACAATCAAATATTATTCACACATAAGCCTGGTCACATTGTTGATATTACAAAGGGATTCTCATAAGGAATCAATTAAAATATACTAAGGTATTATTTTCCTACACTGAAAATCTTTTAAAAGAATATTTTAAAAGTCTAACATTTTGTAAAAGGATAGCTAATTTTCCCCAGTATTCAAAAATTAAGATTATTCAGTGACATATCACAATTGTTAAAACAACTTAAAAATTTTACAAAAAATATCTCACCTGAACTTGGCCAAGTTCTTCCTTGTTACCTAGTTTTTGATAGTGTATACTAATGAAAAGAAAAATTCAAGGTTAAAATTTAAACAACAATAAAAATGACTTCTTATATATTTAAAACTCTTAATGTTCTACACAAGCATACAAAAACATACAGAATTTTAATAAATCATTTTCGGGTCATAATATAGCTGAATTTTATAAAAATTATGTTAATATTAGAAATAGACTTTTAAAATTTGTTTTAATTAGTTACACATGACAGTGACGTTTTTATGATAAGGAAAGTCAAAGTATGTGTACAAAATGACTCAGCCATTTGATAAAGGTTCTAACATTTTTTTAATATCTATAATTAGATAAACAAAAACAACTTGAAGGTAAGTACCTCATAATTTCCTAAAGAATAAAACTGTTGATAATAACCAGTTTAAACATCTAATAATGTAAATACCAGCTAAAACTCACTTGTTTTCTACATCATCAAGGCAGAGTTTAGAAGGTGTACAATGAGGTGACATTGGAAGTTCTAATTCACGTTTCTTTGGAAGCATTTTTATGTTGCTATTCATATTCACATGGAATGGTTTTTTTACAGTTTCTATAATGAAAATATTAGATTATAGTTTAAAAATAAAAAAAATATTTCAAAGCACTACTTGATACATCATGTTAATTAAATAAATGTTTATCTTAGAAATTTTACTAAAAACACATTCTATACATGCTAGAAAAAGTCATTACAATATTAACAACAATCACATATAATTAAAAACATCTTTTTCTTCCTCAGTTTATATATACATCAAGAAAGGGGCCATTAATTTAGTTCTACTTTTTTCTACTTCCAAGGCTTGCTTCATCCCCCAACTATGTATTATTATACATTACTATAGCACCAAACATTTTCTCTATCACTTTGCACACTTTATTGTACTTGATTGACTCCTGCACTAGATTTAGACTACATATAGGATGATCTACATATAGCCTGATCTCTCATTACAGTAGACATACTGTTTTGTCTGTGCAGTACTTTTACCTACTCTTTTAATATTTTTAGTTGTATATGGATACAAAACCTTCTTTTCTTTAAAAGTTTTCTTATGTGTTGCTGGGGATTGAACCCAGTGCCTCACACAGGTTAGGCAAGATTTCTATCACTGAGCCACAAACCCCATCCCTACCTACTCTACTGAGAAATGTTTTTTATACCCTCCCCAACTATCTAGTTCCAATGGAAACTATCCGTCTCTGTGCAAAATAATTGGTTTGGGGACAGGCATTTCTGCAAGGATGAATCAATAATGGAATCCTATACATTGGGTTTTAAGTGTGTTCCACTGCTAGGATACACCACCAGTAGCAAAAGGCAACACTCTTCCATAAAAATGTAAAATGAGAGAAAGAACTTTCAGTCTTTCTGGGTGGCAAGCCTAGGAGAGGTGAGAATTATTAGCTTCTTAAGGCCAGGTGTTGAGCCTTAATGATGATGACTATCCAAGAGAATAAAAATAATATCTTAAGAAAAAAGGAATCCTATTAGTATGTAAATCCTTGATTCAGGCAGTCTGAGACCCTTTGCATCATCACTCTTCTTTTTACTTAAATGTATAAATATAGTTCTTTTTAAATTCATCATTAGCACCCATGAATTATGACTAATAAAGTCTTGTTTTCTATTTTGCCCCAATATAGTATTAAGTGATAAGTAATTCAACAAATATATGTTGAATGAATAATTGTCAGGGAGAAAGTGATGGGGATTAGCATATATTATCCCATGGAACCTTATCATTTGAAAACTGCAGAAGTAGGAAGATCACTATCAGCTTCCTCTTTTTTCCCTAAAGCAGGCCTCACAACTTAGGATTTTTCTGACCTTTTCCCAAACAGGGTCATAAAAATTTCATTTAAGTGGTACCCTCCTAAGGTACCAAAATGGTAGAATAAAGAAGGTCACTTTCTTGGTTGCTCCATGGTGTGAAAAGACAAGTGACTTCTCAGCAAGATGGGTGGAGAAAAACAGAGGAGCTTTACTGGGAATTAATTCTGGACATTTAAAGCAGATCAGGACTCAGGAAGTGGATAAAATAAAGAAAAATTCCCAACACTGTGCATCACTGGCAGGGACTGCTGGAAAGATCCCCCTTGAAAAATGTAGAGGGATAAGTCAATTAAAAAAAAACTCAGCATGTCTGGGTACCAAGAGATTAGGGATCAAAGACACTTCCTGACTGAACAGAGAGGTGCACTGAACAATATCCTCATGCAAGGAAAAAAGCCCCATTCTCCTAGCAGTGTGAGAGGATGAAGGAAGAAACCATTTTGCTACTGTGGTGGGGATGGGCAGCTAGGGGAGCCATTTACTGGCTATCCCAAGTTTGGCCAGAAAGAGGCCCACAGAGTGTCCCTAAGCTACCAGGAGAAAAGAAACCTGAGAAGGGTTTACACAGGGTAATACCTGTCAGGGGAAACCCACCTGGCTCCCTACCCACCCCCTCCAGACTGGCTGCTTGAAAAATCACTAGGAAGAGGTGTCCAACTGGGAATTTTGAAGGGCAAGATTTATTTGGTTTGGAGACTAAACCTGAGAGACCAAAACACACATGAGTGACTGTGGGGACATAGGATTGGCTCCTCCACTATGCTAGCAGAGCCCAGGGGAGATCCCTGGGGGGCAGTATTTCAGCATTGACCAGCAACTGCTGAGCTTAGAAGATATACAGATTTAAAATCTTCAGACCAACTGCCATTCAGTGAAGAACCTGGAGCCTAAACCCCACCTCCAGGAGCTCCTCCAACGGGATTTCCCATCACACTCCAGTAACCCCACAGAACACAACTGGGAAGGAAAACTGAAAATCATTCGAACTCCAACATAAATGATTCTTTAAATTAAGATTTTTAAAATTTTACTTTTTTCTTTTTTCTTTATCTGAACTGTTAACTTACCTGATTGGATCATGGATGCTTACACATATTCATATCTGTTTCTTCCTTCACCTTTCAAGCATTTTTCAAGTAAATTATTTTTCATGGATCAGCATTTTGAGGACTAGCACATTTATGCAGTATAACTCAGTTATGTTCTGGCATTCTTCTACTTTTTGTAAAATGTTTATTTTATACATTTTTCTCACATATCTACTTCTCTTGATTCTCTCTCTCTCTCTCCTGCCTACTGCTAACAGCCAATCTCTATTAGTCTCTATTTCAATCTTCCTTTAATTTTTTTACTTCTATTTTCTCTCCTCCTCCCTCATAATCCTACATCACTTCCTACATCACTTTAGTTCTATCACTGTTCATGACTTAGAATTGTAAATCCTTTGTAAACTTACTATTTTTCCTATGGGCAACAACTGATCATATCATTTCTGATTTTTATGTAAATTTACATTGTAGATCCCATAGAAGGAATTATTTGGTTTAATGATGCGCATTGTTTGCATTGATGGTTGTTATTATCAGACTCCCCCTGAAGATGAAGTATTAGAAATCTTCAGGGACATTATAAGTCAACAGGTAGAAACTCTACTATCTCAAATCCATAGTGTTACATGGGCAGACACACAAACAACATAAAAAAAATCAAGGGACCAAGAGGCCCAAACAAACCAAGATACTTCAATAACAATCCATGGACACCACAGTGGAAGAAAGTCAAAGGAGTTCATTGTTAAACTGATCAGTGAGGTCAAAAAACAATGTAAGGATGGTACAAGAGAGAAAATACAGAAAATGAAGGATCACTTTAATGAAGAGATAACAGAGCCACATCAAAGCACATTGTTATGAAAATGCCTAACATACAGATTAAGAATAGAATTTTAAAGGCTCCCAGAGAAAAAGGACATGCTACATTAAGAGGGAAACAGGGTCTGGAAGCCCAACATCAAGGTGAGGTACAAACAATCTGCATAGGTACTAAGAAAAAATAGGGAAGAAAATGTAATATCACAGATCCACACTGCAAGAAATGAAGACACATAGAAAACATGAAAAAATAAGGGAGGAAAGTACCCCCAAACAAACCAGGACACTATCATAACAAAACCTATGGAAAGCAAAGTTGATGAAATGTCAGAGAAGGAGTTCCAAAGGTTCATAATTAAAATGATCTGTGAATTAAATAATTACCTAAATGAACAAATACAGGCAAAAAAAATTGATCCCTCCAACAAAGAGACAAGAGAGCAAACACAGATAGCAAACAATGACTTCAAGAGTGAGATAGAGACTCTGAAAAAAAAACAGTCAGAAATCCTTGAAATGAAGGATACAATAAATCAAATAAAAAACTCAATAAAAAGCATAACCAACAGACTAGATCATTTGGAAGAAAGAACATTAATTAATGAAGACAAAGTATACAATCTGGAAAATAAAGTTCACCACACAATGAAGAAAGTCAGAAACCATGAACAGAATATCCAAGAATTATAGTACAGCATCAAAAGACCAAATCTAAGAGTTATTGGGATAGGGGAAAGCACAGAGTTTCAAACCAAAGGAATGCACAATCTCTTCAACGAGATAATATTAGAAAATTTCCCAATATGAAGAACAAATTGGAAAACTGCATACAAGAGGCTTACAGGACACCAAATGTACAAAATTACAATAGATCTACACGAAGGCACATTATAATGAAAATACCTAGCATACAGAATAAGGATAGAATCTTAAAAAGCCACAAGAGAGAGAAATAAGGTCACATATAGGGGGAGACTAATTCGTACCTCAGCAGATTTTTCAATCCAGACCCTCAATGCCAGGAGATCGTGAAACAACATATACCAAGCTCTGAAAGAAAATGGATGCCAATCAAGAATCTTATATCCAGAAAAACTAAGTTTTAGATTTGATGATGAAATAAAATCCTTCCATGATGAACATAAGTTAAAAGAATTTACAACTAGAAAGCCTGCACTATAGAACATCCTCAGCAAAATATTCCAAGAAGAGTAAATGAAAAACAATGATGTAAATCAGCAGAGGGAGGGATTACACTAAAAGAAAATCTAATCAGAGGAAAAACCAAGTCACATTAAATACCAAAAATAAACAAATATGGCTGGGAATACAAATCATGTCTCAATAATAACCCTGAATGTTAATGGCCTAATAAAATAAAAACACCAATAAAAACACATAGACTAGCAGTTTGGATCCAATAAAAAAAAAAAAAGACCCAACAATATGTTGCCTCCAAGAGACTCATTTCATAGGAAAAGACACCCACAGACTGAAGGTGAAACATGGTATTAGCACCAAAACAGACTGGTAGACCAATGGTACAGAATAGAGGACACAGAATAGACTAACCCACAAAACTACAATTATGTTAGACAAAGGTGCCAAGAACATGCATTGGAGAAAAATAGCCTCTTCAACAAATGGTGCTGGGAAAACTGGAAATTCCTATGAAAGAAATTGATATTAAACCCCTGTCTCTCACCATGCACAAAACTCAACTCAAAATAGATTAAGGATTTAGGAATAAAATTAGAGACCCTGTGTCTAATAGAAGAAAAAGTAGGCCCTAATCTCCATCATGTGGGATTATGCCCCATTTCCTTCATAAGACTCCTTTGG